TGAGAATAATCATTTACTACATCGACTTTGAATGAATTTCTTCTAAGGTTCTTAAGTAAAATAAAATATTACATTTAACTGGAATTAAGTTCAACACGCATAGATTAAGAATCAGTTACGGAACTATACAAAGTTTTAAATAATAGTTAAACATTTGTTATTTATTAAAAATATTCGTAATGTATAAAGAACCGTACAATTCTATTTAAAGTACTGATATTCAGATCTTTATAGAATTTCTTTGAGAGAAAATGATTTTACAGGTAATTAAACATTTGTATTGTAATTCATCTTTTATACTAAAAAACTTTTTTTATACTTCAAGTAATTTAAAAGTTCATTACATTTACATATTTAAATTAAATACTAATAATATCACAAATGCAAATAATAATTTGCAAATTATATAAAATAAGTTATAGGTAAGAAATAAAATTCTACAGTATAGATCAGAATGTAAAATGTGTTGATACAACGTATATAACGACATAATTTGATAAAATGTCTAAATGTCATATTTTTGCAAAATTACAGCAGTCTGGAAATATTTATATTTCTTTTGCATTAAAATATTACGTAAAATTTTATTTTTACACTAAACTGATGTATTCTTATGATGAGTTAATTATATGTATACATATACATATATAATATATATAAGTATATATAAGTATATATATACATACATACATACATACTAACATAAAATATATGTTTACACACAATACATATTAATAATGTATATATGTATTATCACATCATACGAAAGTATCTATATTTTATTTTAATTATAAAATTATGATCAAATTAAACTGCAATTTTATTTCTTATATGTAGTCACCTACGATAATGCATTGTAACTTGATTACAATTATTTAAAAGGGAGATGTAAACTAACATTTGTAGTTGTGAGAGTATTTTTTGATTTTTAAGTTCATATCTAAAAATTTTTAAATATTTGATTTATAAGATGTTACATAGGACACCATCTAACAGTATTATAATAATAAATAATAAAATATATATGTAGTCATACTATAATAATTTAACTTCATAGACAGTCTAATGATATCGTAAAAATATAACTGCTTATTTTGATTAATAATTTATCATTAATTTTTATACATTGTTTATATTCTGTTATTAAAAAATAATAGGATTATTTATGAAACATTTTTAAATTGAAGGATTATTTATGAAACGTATTTTAAAATGAAGACCAATTTTAATTTCATGTTCTACAATATCTTTCATGTGGAATGCATATATTTATACTATCAGATACTTTTCTTGTTGCATATTAACTAATATTATTATGACTAATATTATTATAATATTATCGTTTACCTATCTGTTATTAAAGGATCCAAACGTTGTTTACAGTCCTCACAATGCTTTGAATCATCGGAAATCACTTGTGGGATTCCACTGAGGAGACTTCCTGGTCCCGAAGAGACATTTCCTGCTCTCCAACGTCTTGGCACGCCTCGAGTGCTGCTGACTTGACTGCTCTTTGATCCCACCCCGCTGTTAGTTCTTTCTATATCTACAGCTCGTACCTTTTAAAGGTTACAATTCTCATTATATTTTTTTTAATCTTTATCCAAACATATTATAAGCGATATTGTCGTATTTATAAGTATGCAAATTTTTATTTGAAGAAACAGTGAATATAACGTTATCACAAAAACAGAATACAAGTTATCTTATCTGTTTATATTAAAAAATCATTAAGAAATTATAGAGAATGAAATTGTAGCATAACATAAAAGACGAAAATAATTTGAAAAGAGAAAATAATATTTTCTCATATCTTTTTTTTAAAATCGACACATGAGTAAGAAGATAAAATTTGAAAGATCTTTATTATTATTTTATTTTTCTTTATAAAGATTTTTATTTTATATAGAAAGTTTATCATTAGAATTTATTATATTTTTTTAAACGCTAGTGAAGAAATAAAATCTAATTGGAGATTTTTTTCATTCAAAAGAAATTGTGATGAGTGTACCACCTTAGATACTTTCTGTAATTTTTGTATTTAAGGTACGTAGAATTTACACCATGCTGTCGAAACAGCTTATGTATATATCATTATTTTTTATTCCTCTTTTTATGTTCTTCATTTGTATTGAACAAAAAATACTTGCATATGTTACAATTTTAGTCACGATATTTTTTCTATACCTTGCTGTATTTCATCCTAACAACCGATTATTTATGGACATAATATAAAATACAAATCCAGCAACAGGTTTGCTCTATTATCTTCAATTTTTGAAAAACACGAATGTTTCTAAAAATGTACAAAAATATGTGTAATTTTTGCGAACAAAAATGATATGTTGTATGGAAAATAAAGATTCCGGGTTCTAAAATCTAGAAGGTTTAATTTAACCTTAAGTGACAGGAACAATTTGACTGAATGTAACATTTATACTATTTCCTGAATACAACTCCTGTATTAATATTTTTCATTAGCATACGAAATTAACAAATGTTGTTATTTCTAGTATTAATAAATAAATAAAATAAAATAACTAAATATGAATTAATTAACGCATAAAAAAACCGGATATTTGCTCAAAGCTCTTCATACAATTGTGTCGTTATAAAGTATAAAGAATATAGAGTAAGATCGCTTAATATGAGAGCCATTTTTTAAAAGAAACACTCGGATTAAAAGCATTTTCCTTAAACTTTTTTACACATTTTAAAACTACGATATCTCTTCTTTCACAACTGCTGAAAAACAGACCAAGAAAGAAATCAGCATTTTCGTATTTAATTCAGAATAAAAATTATGGAAATTAGCAGAAAAGGACAACGGGTTCGCAACGAGAGATCTCACTTTTTCTTTTTCCGAAGATTATTTTTTCAATTTCTTTTTGCATTTGATTTAGAAGTAGCTTTAGATGACTTTATATTATTTATTGACATTATATTTATTGATATTAGACCTTACTACATTGATTTGACCTTACTACAGAATAAAAATAAACAAGGTATGATATTTACATACCTAAAATAAAATATTAAACTTTTTCAAATTTAACTTCTCATAGAGTTCAATCGAAACATGTGGCAGTTACATAAAAGTTGTGTAAGAAGTCATGAATATATACTAGTTTTTAGTTTGACTGGCTCTGATTGATTGCATTATGCGAGAAGAGAAAAGAAGAAAAGAAAAATGATAAAAGATGAAAATGAAAAGAAAATGAAAAGCTCTAATAGTTCTAATAATCTTACTTTTGACGCTTCCGATGAGCTGGTCAGTATAATATTGCATTCCTCGCTACTGTCGGAAACATTGGATATCTGCGAGCTTTTCGAACTAAGATCGCCGAGGCTAGTCTCCTTTTGCTCATATAGTGCTTCCAAATCTCCCTCCGTGTCTTCTTCGTCCTCGTCGTCGTCGTCATCTTCCTCCTCGATGGATATCGCCCGATCCTTCGAGTCCATGAGGAAGTTGAGCAATTCGAATTTACTTAAAATATTCTCCTCCTCCTCCGGCGAGGTGGACATTTTCTTGAAAAAGTCCTCGGGACTCTTCGACAAATATGTTTCAGCAAGATCCGCGGACTTTTTGAAAACATTTTCCGTCAAGTAGGATCCAAAGAACTGGTCGGAACTGCCTTTCCTGTAGTAATCGATGTCACCGAAATATATTCTGTCCTTTATGTAATCCTCCGTGGGTGGCGGACTCAGCGGCAGAGGCGGAGGCTCGTCAGGGATCTCCTCGTAAATGGGCTCCTTGATCACTTCGTAGGGATTCTCCTCGAAGAAAAGATTCGTCGAAATGAAGTCGCCGTCCGAATTTAAACTGGACGCTCTTGAGTAATTTGCCTCGAGAGTCGACTCGGAACTTTCGTACTCTTTACTTTTCAACAAACTTTGCTTTAGTATCTTCAAAATAGCCTCGCCGCTGTCTTCGTCGAGTATCTCGCCATTCTCTCTCGCCTTTCTCAAGGAATCCTCTAGCAGTTTCGAGATCAACGCCTCCTTCGACAGTCCCGAAAGTTTCAACGGATGCTCTCCGTCTTTTTGATGAACCGTCTGTTCCGTTCGTGTTACTCGATCGTTCGTTATATAAAACTTGGCGCTCTTCTCCGTCACGGAAGGTTTGCTCTCGCCGTTCGTCGGCTTCGTCTGTTTCTCAGATTCCGCGAACGTTTCTGGAGCGCTTAACACCATTCTTTTCTCTGACGAGGACTCGTTTTTTCTTCTAGAACACTCAACCTCTTCGATAAGCTCTGGCTCACTGATCTTCGACTTTGATTTCACATCATCTTTGTCACCTTCTTTACCGGATTCGACTACGATGTTTGATTTGTAGTTGTCCAGGATCACGAGTGTACGATTTTCGCTCGAGCTTTTTATTCGCGGCAGATTTTCCGAATTCACTGAAATCACCGTCGGATTATAAACGCTATCTTCTCCACCGACGCTGATTGTCACTTTGTTGTTTGGCGATATTTCAGTGGTGGGCGTTGCGTCACCGTTGATCAAAATCGACGTTCTTCTTGATCCAGCGGTGTCTGGCCCAATCTGCAATCGATGAACGAGAGGTGAAGCTCGAGGACTGACTGCGATTTTATACACGTTGTTCTCGGTGGTCGACGATCCGATTTCGATTTTTGATAATCCATAAGAATTCGACGTGCTCCAAGTGGTCTTCAACATTGGACTGTTTCCTTCCGGTTCGGAGTGATTCGCAATTTTCCCTTTCACATCGGTGTTGCTGACTTTGTAACGGTGTTTCTGTTTTCCAGGCGGAGGAGACCAACTTGTTGGTCTCATCCCTCGAAAATGATCGCCCTTTGCTTCGAAGTTGTTACGTATTTCTGCTGATGGCCCTGTTTCTGGTTTGATTGTGTTTTCAGCAGGATCTCCTTCGGCTTCTTTCCCATTTGACAATTCGGATTGACATTCTCTTTTAATCGAATCAGTGTCTTTCGTCAAGTCTGAGATTTCAATCGTTTCTGTGGTGGATTCGATGGAATCTCTTCGTCGAATTGTTTGTTCGTTCGATTCTTTCACTTTTCTGCACAAGCTGAGGCGCATAGTGTCCATAAAAAGCACGTTTCCAGCTGATACTTCTGGTCTGTTGAATAATCGTTCGCTTTGACTGCGCGATAAGGATGATTTTTTGG